TTAAGACAGCTAAGATTCAGTGGAATACACTATAAACAGTCTGCCTGTTTGCTGTTCAACAAAATAATAAGGTTTCTTTTGTTTTTTGTTCAACAAAAAATCTCCAAAAGATGCCGCTTGGAAAACTGAGCTTTTTGCATACGTTATTTCTCGAGAACGAAGAGCGCCCCAGCCAAAAAAAATCCAGAGCAATGTTTCTGAGGTACAACGAAGCCTACATGCCAAAATTCAGCTATTTTTGAACACTTTCAAAATGGCCAAAAAATCTAGGGGACGTTCTTGCACGCGGCCTTTCAATTATGGCCATAAGGAAAAATAACATCAAACACCAATAGTTTCATTCAATTAGTTTTGTGCAAAACACATGGCCAAGTCGTTCTCACCTTCTCAGTCAATACATAAGCATCAACCACATCAACTACTTCCTCGTAAGCACCTGGAAGGTAAGCACCAATCTTTTTAACCAGCCACTCTTCCCCAGCGACACGTATGTTACCATCACGATCCTGTTTGAGAAAAGAAGAACAAGAGGACAAAGTAATAATTAAAAGTAATTGTAACAAACGAAAATATTAAAGCTTTCAAACAGTAGAATCTCCATGTAATGTCACCTCAAATAAGAAAACTGTAAGTTAATAAATTTGCAAACTTTCCACCATCAAACCACTACAATTATGCGGGAACCTCTGAAAGCAACTTGACCTGCCAAAAGCATCACTACAACTACTTTTACAAGCAAGTATATGGCTTGAAATTTTCAGTATTGTTTTCTTTTTTTCATCCGTAGTAGGTAACCACTAGACATATGATTCAATCACACTACAAGGGAAGACTGGATAACAAGATGCTGTACAACCTTAGCTTGATGGGAGTTTAAAACTTGTTCATACATTTTCTATATACTGTAGTACCAACCCAATAATTATGATGCTTGCCATATATTATGTAATTCAGATGTATCACTTAAAAACATGGTGTTGTTGGCTACACAGGGGCACTGCTAGAACCACCATGACAGAACAGAAGATAACACAAGAAAAGAGGAGCCAGGTTCATCCCATGCCTGAGGCTATCCTGGGTTAATTAAAAAATAATGTTTTTAATATCCTATAAATGTATTGCTCCTACTTTTGTTTCTTTCCTTGCTCTCAGTCTAATGGCTTGGTTTGGTTGGATGATGGTCGCAAGGATTGTTTCTACAACTTCAACTTCTTTCTTTGGTATGTAAGTACCTGGAGTGTAAAACCAATAGGGCAAGATCAGATTAAATATCATATGGACCTGAAATATTAAATATGAGAGTATAAATGATTTTGTAAATTGTTTAATATGTGCATTATTTAAAATTAAATTTTTCCACAAGCTAGCTGAATACAATATACAGTATAGTTCTTAAGAATGCCATTAAATTCTATGCAGACCCAATCAAATAAATTCAGTTAATCTCCCCTCTAAGTAAGAGTTTTAATTTATTGTAAAAATTAAAAGATAAGCTTTACCTGGACCTTCAAACAGCCATTCATCACCAGCTACCCTCTTCTCTCCTGATTCAGACTCAAAGTCCAGCATAGCACGAAGTCGAATTGCAGAGTTAGCCATGACTACCCTCAGACCTGAAACGCCTTGCTTTAAAACTTCACCAGGATATAAAGGAAATGGGTCTTGTGCAAGACGGATATCCTGCAATACAGAGGATCACATACATAAATTAGTCTCTTTAATCTATTAACATCGCACCAAAATTAATTCCAAAATTTATGGGCAGAGTGGATATTTTGATACAGAACACATTGAGTTGGTGATGACTTGTACTATTTCCACTTAAAAATTACCTATTACCCAGAGTAAACTAAAAATGAAATTTCCAAGAGAAATCAATGCATCTATAGTGGCTATAAAGAACTTCAAAGTCCATCTCTTGGCTATATTAGACTGCAGCCTTCATAGTAATGGTGAAATGTAATATGATATAATTATTCCGTTAACCCCCTTCAAAAGCTGTGATCTGGTTGCAAAGGTTCAAACCATTCAAATTGAAGATTGTATAAAATAAACAGAAAACTGGTTATTCTAAATATCTTTAACACTGATTCCATCTCAAAATACATGATGTATGGAATGAGTTGAGGTATCAGGCCTTAACTACTGCAGTACTGAATTTGGAATTGACTCCTACTTAAAAGTTTCTTAATAAAACAGTCACGCATTTATTACTTTGACTCAGCTTAGTTCGTAGTTTATGTTCATTAGTGATTATGTTCACCATGTTCCAAGCCATTACAAGTTCAAATCAGACAGTTAAGGCTACATTTATAGTGATTGCACGCTTATTAAGTGCCATGTGTTACACGATATACAGAACCTGATCAGCATGACCCAGTTTGATCTGTCCATTAGCATCAATAAGAACGCGTCCATCTTTATCCCTGAGCACTGGATTTTCAACAATACAGTAATGACGAGGAGGAATAGTTATCATTTTCTCTGGACCAAGAATGACCTGCATAAATAAGAGAGAAAAGTTTCCTCACCTTTTCTCACCAAATGTTTCCTTTCTACAACCCCCTATATTATATTGGACATAACTAATCAATGACATCAATAAAATAAATGAGTAATCATTATGAATAACACCGTTATTGATGGGTAATCAATGCTTAGCCATTGATTATTGCAGGTGATCAATGAGTTATTCCAGAAAAAATCCATACCATGCCCCACCCCCAATGGATGGACACGTTTTTTAACCCCCCTCCGACCTGGATTACTTGAAGAACTAGACCCCCTCTTACCTGGATTTCCAAGGCAAAAGACCCCCTTCCCACCTGGATTTCCAAAAAATTTGATGAGTCTTATAAATTTATATATTCAGTAGAATTATATGCACAATTGTATCCAGAAGATGCTCTTGTCTAATTTCTAAAGCTTTCGGAAATATTAAGCTTTAACAATTATCCTGTGGAACACAATAAAACAAGCTTAATACAAATTCAAAATGTTTTTGGACTCAAAGCTTGTTAAAAACATGCAACTTGTTTGTTACACGCACCGTGCAAAATATATCATCAAATTTATAATGATAAGAATTTGGGTAAGTTGAATTAAATACCTTTCCTCGAAGTTGGCCTTCTGATAGGGTGCAGGAAAGAAAAAACAATGTGCAGAATTTTGGAAGCAGATTGTGCAGGAAAAACCTCAGTTGTGTGGGGAATTGTGCGGGATTGTTGAATCTTTTGACGAACCAAATTTCAATTTCAAGTGATCTTACCAAGTCCTACAGCAAGGAAATTCTGCAGTGACATGACAGTTTAACCAAATTTATTTCACTAGTAGTTCAAATCACATATTGTTTTAGCAAACTGTGTCTCAGACTGACTCTGTATAAAAAGTGCACCAAACCAAAACAGAATGCCATGATATCTTTCATTATAATTATTAAAAATAATTATTCCTATCCTTATTCAATCAAAATATGTAGCTTGAATATTTCTTCATAAACTGCATTAAGGTTTGCACATTCTTGGACGTTATCTGCCAAAAAATGGTTATGGAAGAACCTGCGTAGGTAACTTGGTGGGGGGGTACTCCCTTATATGGGCTATATAGGTATGTGCGGCCCCAAAGGGTATGGTTTTTCAGCCGTTTTGGTCATAAATAGGGTATCAATTTTAGCTGACTTTGGCCATTTTGGTCATAAATAGGGTATGGTTTTTGCACTCTAGCCTTGATATGGGTATGTTTTTAAGAAGAAGCCACTTTTTCATCATTATCAAAAAGAAAATCAACAAAAACCCTTCACAAATTATCTTTACCGTATTTAACATTGGTCTGAACTAGGGAACTAATTATAATGTAGGTCTGAGAAAGAGTTTTGATTTAAGGGTCAGGTCATAAATAGGGTTTCAAATTTTTGGTCATGCCATAAATAGAGTAGGGAATATCGCAGATTTTGGTCATAAATAGGGTAAGGGTTTTGGGAGGCGGGCCGCACACCCCCCACCCAATTTTTCTGGGAGTACCCCCCGGGGCTTGAAGTATATCAGGAAAGAAAGATATAACTGAAAGATTTCAACTTTTTTCAGATTCAGAGAGTGCTCAAGTGTCACATGTCACACATCTAAAAGTTTGAGGTTACGTTCGGTTGGAAATGATCACCGAAGAAGTCTCTTTTGGGTTCAACCTCGCCTCCCGCCTGGATTTAGAACCATAGTCTTTTGATCCCTCCATCCCGAGTAAATTTCCAGAAACCCATCCATCGGGGTGTGTGGATTTTTTCTGGAAGAACCCAATGATAATCAATGAATAATCAATAGGCCTCAAAATTTTCAGTCATTGATTAGTCATTGATTGCATTGATTCAACATTGACATACAAGTACATCAGGAAGTAATCTCATGGCTACACAATCCATACCAAATCTAAAATAAAGATTAAATAAAAACAATTTCTTCAAGACACATGTACAATTCTTCTTTGCCTATTATTATCATCATGGGCCATTCATGTAAAGATTTATAACAGGCAAGTGGAGTTGTAATAGAACAATGCCAGAAAATTGGAATAGATCACCAGCTGCTGTTCGGGAAAGGAGCCCAGGCTAGTAGAACCGAACTTGAGAGAGTGGCAGAAATCAAGCTTAAAAATGAAAACGAGAGCATTTTTTAATTGCTATCTCTTTGAGTGCACCCTAAAAGTTATTTTAACATCTAAAAATAGTCCTATAGTTTAGTTCTGAACACCCTATAAAAAGTGAGACCAAAATCCTTGATCTACACTCTCTGTGAGACGATGAGCATCGCTAACATTGATATGGGAGTGTTCCTCTGGGTTAGATATCAGACAAGTTTTCCACTCAGACATATGATCCAGTTTTTGTTTTGGGAAGCAGGCTACATAACCCACACAATTTTTCTGGGAGTACCCGCCCCCCAGTGTAAAGGGCAACAAACAGTTTTTAGATTACAAACCTACAAAAATTTGATATCAAACCATATCATCTGTATGGAAAGGTTTGAATAAATTCCTAACTACTTTGAATAATGGTGCCACTATCATGAGTAAGGTAATTGAAATAAAATCTTGTTTTGAGCATACTCTTTCCACATCCTGCGTCAGTCATCTTGTAAGCGCGAAGCGAACCAGGTACCATACATACATGTACCAAGCATGTATTATTGTTATTGTAATAGACATCAAATATGTGCCTTCTTTAAGCTGGCTCAATGAAAATCTTTGACAGCATACTATTTTCTTAGCTACAACTCTGCACAGCCAGCCACCACTCACACATTGCATCAGGACTCCATTCCTATGTTTTTCTTAATTGGATTCCTTCCCTAGACCTGCCTAAATGTTTAACTGAGTCAAGCATACATGCATTATTTTCATTATAATAGAGATCAAATGCAAGTTGGCTAATTGAATCATTACCTTTTCATTGTCCTGTCGAATGAAGGTTTTTGGACCAACTTCAACCTTGGTGACATTGGTGTTCTGATCCAAGACATGAATGTAATAATAAGGTGGGATACGGTAGATACTCTCCTCGTCATGAGGGGTAGAACGCCGACTACTGCTCATCATTCAAGCTATATACATTTGAAAACAATTTTGACATGTTAATCTGAATTTTCATATTCAAATAATCAAATAAATCTTAATTTCATTAATAACCCATAAAATTAGTGCTACAGTAGAACATCTAGGAAAAGGACATTGACAGACAAGGGTCCAAAAAAGAAAGTTACCACTGATAAAAAATTCAAACACACATTATTATTGTTGTCTTCACATGATTTCATGTTGCCTTAAAGCCTGTTCACATTTGAATAAATTGAAATTTCTAGTAAGCTTCATGCTAATTCCTGAGGAACCTATTAACTGGCCTGAAACCCTATTAACATAGCCAAAGCGATGAAAAAGGCAGGTACATGATCAGTTGTTTTGAGTAACTTTGAACAAAGCAGTCAGCTTCTCGCAATACCTTCATGGTGTGCACGCTATCTTGCACTACTTGTGAATGTTGGACATGTTTAGAAACTGGTTAAACAAGGTTAAATTTGGTTGAATTCTTCTGTTTTGTTATTGCATAGAACATAAGTGAGCTTCCATAATTAGACCAATTTCGATATATTAAAATTCAACCTAACACAATAGACCTTAGCACATTAGGCTCTGTAGTTATTCCCCAGAGCCTTGTACTGAGGTCTATTCTCTTAGGTTGAATTATAATATATCAAAATTGGTCTATTTGTTAGCTTTTGTAACAAATTTACAGTATAAGGTCAGATTTCAACAAGTAACTCGCTGCAAAACCAATTAAAAAGAATTGTGAATACTTGTATTCATCAACTTGTACCTATTCCAAATATGCCTACTTTGCAAAACTGAAGAATATTTTGAAAGCTGTAAAATATTGGCATTTACAAGTTTCAACCCCTTCTGAGTTTCTGGTGCCATAATTGTTAAAAGTAAGCATACAAGCATGGCCAAGAATTTTACTCTTCTGTAATATTTGTCATACATGCTTTGTTAGGATGCTTTGTTTTAGCTCATATTTTCTCTCACGGTTCAACATACTAAACTTTAACAATGTCAGCATTTTCGGTCTAGTCAGTAAAGCTTATTTTTTTGAAAATGGCCTCTTATAGCCCCCCCAAAGACCTGCTTTTCCCAGCTCACATGCTCATAAAGTCATTTTCCACAGAATGACCTGCATATGTATTTTAAGAAGAAACGTCTCTTAAGTGCGTAATAAAATAAAAACTTGCAATTCAACAATTTATTAGTTCGACACGCCAATTAACTGTATTAAAGTGTAAGCTCATAAGCCCAAAAAAAGCAATCAAACTTAATAAGCTTACCTAGTCTGCAAATGAAAAGTATTTGAATATCAATCTCTCAGTTATAATGAAAGAATCTTAGCAGGTGGCATGAAGTCTTGTATAAGCTTCAGCCTGAGTTTACAAGAACAGAATACTAGCCCCCTCTCTTGGTAGCCATAGAAATGGTCTACACTATTAAACAGAACAACTAGTACAGTGTGGGGCCCAGTTCTCAGCCACTTTTTGTTCAGCATTTATTTTTCGTGCCCCAAATGAATCTGAATAAAAAGCAATTGTTTCCAAAGGTAGCTTGATTCCTTTTCTTCCGTTCTGCTGAGTTTTGTTTCGTCCTGCCGAGTTTTTCTGTGAGCATGTCGAGGTGACGCGACGGTAGGTGAATTTGGTTTCCCCGAAATCATGTTTGTTTACGGCTACTCAAATTACATGGTTTAATTCAAGTTTATATTTTGTCCGTCTAGAAAGCCCAAATGAGCCAATTCTTGGCATAAAGGATGTAGAGTG